TATAATATATATATATATATGTACACACACACACACACAAAGAGAGAGAGAGAGAGAGAGAGATTGTAGAATGGGGTGTAGAGCCTAGAGTACAGGAGCAGAAGGGTCTCAGCACGCAGACCAAGCCCCGCAACACCGGGCCCTGTGACCTCCTTTCGAAACCCTCAACACCCAAACCCTAGCCCAAAACCCTAAACCCTAAACCCTAAGCCCTAAACCCTAAACCCTAAGCCCTAAGCCCTAAACCCTAAGCCCTAAGCCCTAAACCCTCAACACGCAAGCCCCTAGCCCTCAAACCCCGAGCTCCAGACCTTCAGCCTCAAACTCTACAGCCCCATCCTAGCGCCCGAAAGAATCTACGACCTAAGCTCTAAAACTCCAGACTCTGAGGCCCCAAAACTCTTCTAGCCTACTCCCTCAACTACCAACCCTGAAACCCGCAGCTCTAAACTCTATACCCTAGCTAGGGCTTAGAGGGCCTCGGGAACCGAGGCCCTAAGCCCGAAACGCTAATGCAGGAGCCTTAATAATTAGAATAGGGTTTTGGGGCCCTTTATAGTATATCATAGTAAGGAGCCCCCAAAACCCTATTCTAATTATGAAGGCCCTTATAGAAATTGGGGCAAGACTCCGGCTTCCACCCGAACTTCTGCACCAGACGGCTCTCCATGCCACTCATGGCAGGATGCCTCTCCACCTGCCATGGTAGTTTAGGGTTTAGGGTTTAGGGTGCTTGTGCTTCGGGCTTCAGCGTACCTTCATTTAGGGTGTATAAGTCTAGGGTTGAGGGCATCAGGGTGACGAGTTGAGGTTTAGGGTCTAGGGTTCAAGGCTTCAGGGTCGAGCCCACAGGGAGTGGCGGGGCCAAAGAAGCCCATGATGAATTGAAGAGGGGGTTTCTCTCTGACTTCGGGCCTCCGATGCCCTTCGTGGCTTGGTCTTCGTCGGGCCTTCGTTTTTTGAATGCACCTTCCCGCGGGTCGACCTTGGCTTCCCCGGGAACCTTGAGAAGCAAGGCTCGGCCAAAGGCTGACGGGCTTTTGCAAGGGGCTTTCTGCTGTTTGTGCTTCACTTTGGGAACCCGTCTTAGGGCCAGGGTTTCCAGGGTCCTCGGTTTTCGGGTCTGGGCTCCAGGGCTTGCGGCTTCCACAGGCTGCCTTGCCTGTATATGAAGCAATCCCAACAACTGCACAGCCCTGAATTCGAAACCCGAGTCCCGAGATCCTCCCTAAGCTCTAAACCCTCAACCTTAGAGGCCCTAAACCCTAAACCCTCAACCCTAGAGGCCCTAAGCCCTATACACCCAAAAGGCCCTGATGAAGTGGTCTCTTGGGCTCACGAAATCACCCCCTAGCCCTGCCTTGAACTCCCCAACGGCTGCGGGTGCACTCTCGCAAGCTCCCATGGTGCCTTTGCCGTGCCCGTGGTTTTGGGCTTTGGGTTCAGGGTCTAGGGTTTAGGGTTTTGGGTTTAAGGGTCTAGGGTCCTGAAATAAACAAACCCCATTCATAGGAGCAGCTGCTAGCCTGCCGATATGAACGAGTTCAGACGACGCCAAGATAGATGCACAGTTCAAAAACCCATGAAGCCTAATGCGAAAAGGTCAACCCACTTCCGAGCTTCAAAATCCGTATGGGGATAACCCCGCTCATATCACCTCGCCAGTTGCTCCGAGGCTTCCATCTAATGTGGGGGCCTTAATAATTGGAACAAGATTTTGGGGTATGTTGTACTATAATTATAACAAGGAACCCTCCAAAAAATACTGGTATTTATTCTGACCGATAGATTAACTCAGGAGCTCTTGCTCCGTCAATGTAGGTTTCGGGATCACGGGACTGCAAGGTCAGGGTTTAGGGTTTAGGGTGAAGGTTTGGACTACAAGGTCAGGATTTGAAGGTTTGGACCCAACGCCAAATGAAGCATCCTTTCTCGAAGAACTTCAGGGTCAGCGACGTATTTGCACCTAAGGGTCAAATGCACTTAATTCAGAGCTTTCGAATCGCATGCTGGCTGGGAGAGCGTGCTTCTGACAAAACCGCGTGCTGGCTCAGGCATGGCAGTCCCCATGGTGCATGCAGGGTTCAGAAGCGGATTTCAGCTTTCATATTGGGTCCAAGCATAGGCATGGCGAGCAATGGTATGGAAATTTGCATGGAGCGGGTGGGCAGGATTTGCCCCTGGGCGCTTTCCGATAGCTATCATTCAGATCATAGCCCTGATCGGTATCTCCACTATTTGGACTACAATGTGGGGATCGAGAAGGCTTTTCGTGAAGTGTTGTGCTCAGTTGTTATTTCTCTGAGATGCTACGGATGTATATGCTGATATTATGGTTATTTAAGCTTCGTCCTTTCAGGAGGGCCTCTCGACGGCGATGCTGAACGGCGAGCTGGAGGCCACCGAGGACATTCTTTGCGAACGGGGCCAATGCATTTGCCACTCGGTTGCAGGTCTGTATTTCTGTGGATCACAAATTATTGTTTCGTCCTGCTGAGGCATGAGCATGATTTCGCGGATTTATCCCGGTGGCCTTTTCTTCGCAATGTGCCTCGCCGCAGTGTGTTGTTGTGTTGGGACACATACATCGAAGAGCAAGTTCTTCGTTTGCACCAAGGCCGTTTCGCTCTGCCCGTGCCAAGCCCGATCTGGAGAAAGTGATGGAAACTTGCCTCCAATTATTGTGTGCACCTTAGACTGGAGAGGGAGCTGAAAAGACTTTCATCTTGCAACTGAGGGCTTCTTGATCAATATGGTTGTCTTCTGCAAGATGATATCGGTGCGATGCATTTTCCAGCTGCCCTATGACCTGTGGGATACCTTCTGGAAGCACCCCCGCACTCAGGAGAGGTGTTGACCATTTTTGAAAACCGCTGCTAATCTGTTCTTTGTTGCCACAGGAGGTGTGGGAGCCCCTCGAGATGACGAAGGAGATCATTACGATGGCCTCTTTCGGAGGCCATGGACAGCCTCTTGGTTTACTGCTGTGTACTGCTGTGGGATCAATGCTTGGGTTTGTCATTGGCTGATATTGTTCGTAACCCGAGGAACCCGATGGTGCTTGTTGGCCACGACCGCTTCGTCATCCGTTGCCTGCGGTACATGTCAGCACAGATGCTACCGATGCTGCTCTCCATAAGTTGGTCGAAGGTCCTGCACATGCGGTTCACATTTGCCACATCCCCGGGGTTTTCCGAGGTTCCGAAGCTTGAGCGCCAGGCGCTTGGGCGGCTTCGGTATGGGCAAGGGCGGCAATGGCTTGCCCGGGACCTTTGTCTACGCAGCCACTCGGCTGAATCATCAATTGACGGGGGAGTCCGATCCAATGTGAATCTGTTGAACTTGAACCACTGAGTTGGTGGACGTGGTGATGCTCCGCTACCGCAGAGACTCGCAGGACTTTGCTCCCAGAAACTTGGGGCGACTGCTGAACCGGATCTGCCACAACCTTATGGCTCAGGCCGGGTTCTTGTGCATAGAATGGAGAAATGGCAGGCAAGGGTTCGGTCCTGGGTTCTTCGGACAGGATTTGGACGAGATTCTGGTGGTCAACGCTCGAGATTATGATGCTATGTTTCCGAAGACACGAGTGTTCGAGGTGGAGTTCGAGGCCCGGTTCCTTTCGGTCAGGGATGGCAAAGCTTCAATGACCTCATCTGTTGAAGGCCTCGGATCTCTCCGTTACAGGGCCGATCGCAGTAGCATCACGGCTGATTTCATTCTGATCAGATGGAGCATTGCTTTGTCTGGGAGTTGCGGACCTTTCCGGTTTCCGGAATTGTGGCTTTGTGTTTGATTTGTGTGCTCGCAAGCAATCTTAGTGTCGCAGATAGAGATTCCTGGCCTTTCGAGGTGCCTCCTCCTGTGGTGATGACCACTGCCGGGGACCGATGTTCCGGGTTTGGATTTGGGTCTTGAACATTTAGATGGCTTGGGAAATTCCAAATTAGAGCCGGGTTATTTTTCATTCATTTTTGGATATTACATGATGTAACTTAATCTTTTCTTGGATTCCCTGACAGCCCGTCCTTCAGTGTCAGCTTCCTTGACTTGTGCAGGATTTCGAGTTGCTCTGAGCCCGGGCGAGCTGGGCCGCAATTCGATTCTTGGTTGATTATTTAAGACAACTACAGTCTTGTGATACGTGAATTTTATGGTTGTGGTGCCACATGAAACACCTTACCGCACGTGTCCGCAAGCTGTGATTCGGGTCGACCGCTAGGAGTGCTTTCTGATTCTGGGGTTCCTGCTTCTCTCCAATTCCAAAATATCTCAGGAGTTTTGCTTCCATCTCGATGATGATGGATGCGATCTAGATTTGTGGCTTGGACATCAAATATTCTTGTGGTTGCTGGGGTGTTGGATTTGTGTAGCTGCTTGCTGCCCTTGCACTCCCGAGCCACTTTTTGAGCCCGCTGCAGCTTCGGTATCTCAGGTGTCCCTATGTCGGCGGATTCGATGACTAATCTGGGCTTTGCCACCATGACTATTCGAATCGATACTTGGCTATCGGCGGTTGCAACTTGGTTCATCAGGAGCTCTTGGCTGCAAGTTTTGGGTGGTGGCAAGCCGGCTTCCCTAATTCCCCTTAGTTCTTCCTAAAGTATTTATCATAGATCTTTCTAAACTATTTATGATAGAGCAACAGCACGGCCATCCTTACGTTGTATCCGCAAAGGCTAGGAACGCAGATAGGAAATTCGATGCACGGGATTCGGGCTACTGCTGCTGGGAAAATTAGATGGAACGTATAATCACTGCAATATTTGCACTCGGGTGTCTTACGACCCTTGATACTTAAATCTACTAGACTAGGGGGCCGCCGCCTAATGCTAAGTGTACATAAATAACCTAAAGCCCTGCAGTGCAGCAAAGCCCTTCCCGCAGCGGCTGGAGACCGCTCGACCACGTTCCTTGGTCCGGGGCAAAATGAGTGAGAGAGCTGGCAGCATTGGTAGCATCGCATGTGCCATGTCATTGCACTGTCTGAATCTGAAGCTGTGCTGAACACTGTTTGTCGCCCCTAGCTTTTGCTGCCTGGCAGCTTTAAGGGTCGCTCTTTAGGCCACCCGACCTCCCCCTTGGGGCCCTTTGCTTCCGAGCATCGCCGGCCATGAAGAAGGGCGACATGAAGAGCACCAGCCTTCGAAGGACGGTGCTGCTTCTCTGATCGGGGCTCTTCGTTGTAAGTGAGGCTGGCGGCTTGAATTAATATTAAGCTGGGGTTCACGACTCAGGCCTGGCCTTCTAAAAATAATCTAGTCTAGGTCTATATAATCACTCCAATGACATGCTATCGCCTGAACCCAATCCACTGCATAATCAACTAGAGCACGATCAGGAAGACCCTTGGGCTCCCAGATAGAACCCACTGATTACTATTTTATACTTGTTCAGAAGGTTGTGCGGTTCGCGACATTGAGCTCAAGGCTGATGTTTGGATATAGTCTAGTAATGACTTACCCATAATTATTATTTGATTCACCCTAACTCACAAACCCCCAATCCACACCACGAACCCTGAAAGCCCCATGACCGACCATACCCAAGAGGCATTATGAAGAGCTTCGGGTTGTAACTCTTCCGTCAGAAGAGAGTGATCTATTTGGCAAAGAGCCAGTTTCGACTTAGATGATCTTTCGTTATATCCCTTCTCCAGGTCTTACCTCCAAGAGAACGAGCAATCTAGTTGTATTGTATTCAAATTAATTCATGCCACCATCCTGTGCCCGAGGCTTCAATCCCCAAACCCTTTTCCTAAACCGTGCACTATCAGAAATGCACAACAATCTATTTCTCGTGTGGGCAGGACCCTCTCCACGAAGAGTTTGGCCTCCGCGCCCGAGCCAGAGGACGTGCCGGAGCCGAACGCCAGGAGCTTCCTGCTTGGGACTGCAAAGAGGAGTCTAGACCAGGCTTTCGGAATCTCGGTGCCGCATAGATTCTAGATTGTGTTTTGGGAGTATTGTGGGTTTGGTGGTTGTGGGGGGAATCTTAATTAACTGTGCCACTGGCAGTCCATGCACACGCACACACACACACATACACAGACACACACACACACACATGTATACACACACTCACATATATAATCTCAGATACACATACTCAACTGTATGTGTGTGTGTATATATATATGTATAGATAGCCACTAGACTCTGACTGATAGACAATAATGCAGTATTACAATAGTTCCATCCTACCATGCAATATCATGTCATATCCTTGCATGTGTTACTACTCACATCATATCATCGCATATCAACTATAGAATATAGTATTGGAATATATTGTGTTCTAGTGTGTCTGTGTGTGTGTGTGTGCTAAGTAAGTATTTCAAACATATTTAAAACGGCATGTGTTGTACTGTATTATATTTATTAGTTATCGTTTCTCATAAATACGTAATACTAGCAAGCACATATATCGGTAATAGTATAGTCATACCTATGCACACATACCCTAGCTAACTCGCCGCCTGAAACACTCGCTCACACTCTCTCGCTCTCTCACACTCACACTCACCACTTCCCACTTACTCTCATTCGCACGAACTCACACACTCTATCGCTTGCTCATCACCGTCACTCGCTCGCTCACTGACTCACTTGATTTCTCTGTCTCTGTCTCTCTGTCTCTCTCTCTGTCTCTCTGTCTCTCTGTCTCTCTCTCTCTCTGTCTCTCTCTGTCTCTCTCTGTCTCTCTCTGTCTCTCTGTCTGTCTCTGTCTGTCTCTGTCTGTCTCTGTCTGTCTCTGTCTGTCTCTGTCTGTCTCTGTCTGACTCTGTCTGTGTCTGTCTGTGTCTTTCTGTCTCTGTCTGTCTCTGTCTGTCTCT